CAAACAAACAAACAAACAATAAAATATCCATACCTTGAATGATTAAACCAACATATATACGTAGCGTGCATAAAGGAAATAAACACATCATGAAAGTGGTTCAGTAGTTATAACAAGTGAGATTGCAAAGCAAACTTCAAGAGGAGTTAAATAAGAAAGGATTACACATAATTAAACAAAATTCTACTAAGGCATAATTTACATTTATACTAATGACATTTGACTCATAAAGTTACTGAATCAAAACAGCAGCGAAAATAAGCTGGATTTTAATATTCAAAACATGCCATAATATATACATATATATACATTTTGATAGTTATTGCACACTTTTACATGCACATGCACAGTAACATACATATACTCTAAACAAAATAAACCTTACGGTCATCGCAATAAGCTACTTATACTTCAGCAAGAAATTATATTTCTTTTTTAGGTGGAATCACGTGTAAGTTCTGATTTTGTAGACTCCAGGATATTATATAGTACTGAAGCAATATATATATTTTTTTCCTAACAAGTATAAATTTCCTATTACCAACCAGCTTTCAGAAGGTATTTTCTGCCCTGGATAGATCATGCTCCAACTACCTTAGCTAGTCTTCTTTTTCCACCTGGTTGAAATGGAATATTTATCATTTTTGGTTATCTTTTATGCAAGGATAATCCTAAGAATGTGATGCACGTATTTTATGTGATGCACCGGTGTTGGTAATATTATGTGCCATCACATAAATAGAGATAATTCTAGATTTGAGGTTGCTGAGTCTGTAATGATTATGATACGGCATCTTCCTTCCTTTCAGTACCCTTGGGAATGTCGGCTCAGATTTTGATTTATTAAATATTAGCATTTTATAGGATGGTTTAACTACGGCTCGAGAGGATTGTGCTTTCTTTGTTGTCAGTTATTTGCGTTCTTGACCACCTTGGTCTTTGGACTGGATTCATGTAACTTGTATGATTTTTCCAGTTCGGACTGGATTATGGTGGATTTCCTAAGGCTTAATAGTGCTCTCCTCTCAGAGATTAAAAAAGATCACTACTGTTCCTATAACATGGATAACACCCGCTACACTACAATGAATCAATTTGTACTTCTTGACTTGCAGCTGTAATGGTGGTGGATAGTAGACGGAACACGTTGCATCTTCTTCTGGTGTGGAAACAGCTGTAAGTGGCAGGTTTTCCTCCTCAAGTGTCAAGTCTGGCAAATTGTCTTCTTTACGTCTCAGGTCCAACACTGGACATTTGGGGCATATTGACTGTTGGAAAGATATGTATGCCAGTGAGTTTCTTTTTTGTTTGTTTAGTTTACGCAAATTTACTCGAGAGCTATCTGCACTATCTGTCGCTAAGTTAGAAGTGAAAAACTAGAGCTAGTCAACACCACCCACCAAATATGAGATTGATCGTCACATTATATCGCTCCCAGGGCTGGATCAGAACCAGTCCCCTAACCACCAAGCCATGCCAGACCTTATACCCATGAGAGTTGGCACGAATGGTTTTGTTATCGTCTCAGTAGCATTATTTTATGGCAGATCGAGCCCTTCCTACTCTTGGGCCCGCATGACCAGGTGGTTGGGTCGCTCGACTCGCAGTATGAGGGTCGCGGGTTTGAATCCCCGTCCCAAGAAACGTCCTAATGTGACGGTCAGTCTCACTATTCGTTGGTAAACGACAAACAAAACATAAAAAAGACCCACCCACTTCTCTGGACCATAACTTCGGCAAAAGTTTTATGTTTAAACTTTGACCCAAAGCTAACGTTTCTAAAACATATAAATAATATATTAAAAAGATTTGGAAACGTACAAACTATGCAAGAAAGCTAACAGGCAAAAACCATGGAACCTCACCTGACAATATAATAAAAATCTACAAAACATATATACGCCCCATCATTGAATATGCAACCAAACACATAAAGAAGCTAGCACATCATCAAAAGTTATGCACAATTACGCAAACCTACAAACCATAGCCGTTAGACTCTTGCATAATTCTCTAAATTACTTTGAGAAAAATAGGTAAAAGAACGGTCTATTTTGTGAATTAGGTCGATACTACATACATGATTGAAGTAGACCTAAGTACCTCTCACCTGTGAACATATGTTATAAAATAGAAATTTAATAACTAGACCATAAAACTAGCTTATACTAAAATATAAAACACTTAAAAAGAGTATTTTGTGTAAAATACTATTATATTAGTTTTAAACGAGAGAAATGTGTTGTCGGTATATACTGAAGTGTTTGCCAAATGCAAGACTTTGCAATACCGAACATATGTGATGATATGCACAACACACGAATGTAAATGCAGATACCGACATGGACATTGCAGTATAAAATGTATATTGTAAATAAACAAGTATCCCAGCGCTTCTTTTCTCAGATTTAAATATACATTACTGTATAACAAATTTTCTGTCTTTTAAAGTGGTCGTAAGTGAATTACAACATCTTTTAACATGTCTTGGATTAGTGTAATGTAATTTTCAACTAAATTATCAAGGCTAATTTAAAGCGGATTTTCCATAACAAAGGATCAACTTAATTAGACCAGTTCAACTAATTAATTATTATTACGTCTGTGCGAATATACATATTATATTATTACAATTATGTTGAATATAAAGTTATTATCAAGGCATCAGCTTCGATATAATAGACGTAAATTATGTTTACCAACACAGTTACTTTGGGAAAGTCGTGTTTTACATCAATACTGATTCAGTTCGCATAAGTTCATCAGCTACATAAATATTTTGCTTTTTGTGAATTCGATGAACATAAAACTAACTCATGAAATAAGACACGCCCAGCTGATTACGATTTAAGTTTGTTTTTTTGTTTTGTTTTTATACAAAGGAGCAATAAAGGTTACTATTTATATGAACTCTGATAATATAGTTTGCCTAGATATAATATTAAGTAAGAACACTTGTTAACCTTGTTAAAATTGTTTCAGAATTTACATTTATTATTAAATAAATACAAGCACCATATTAAAAATCGTTTGAAAATATAACTGAAGAATGAATTTACAATTCGGTATTTTGTAAAAAGATATAATTCCTGTAATCTATAAATAACATAATGCACCCGGTTATTACTATGTTTCAGCTGTAGACGATTTCTTTTAAGTTATTTCTCGAAATGCTACAGATAATAATAGCATTGCTTCGTGCAGTCTTGTCAACCACGCGCTTTTTATTTTTTGCTCATTGTGTAAGTGCAGTCCTTACACTAAAATCAGCCTTTTATCTAAAAATACATTTTATTAAGTGAGACGAGGTAGCACCTTTGCGTTTCTGAGTTGCCATATATAAATATATAAGCCTCCGAGATGTTTACTGTGAATAGTTTGCTTTCAGTTCTGTTTTATTTTCTATGATCGTTGCATGTCGTAAGAAAGTTTTTTACGTGTTTTCGTATATGTTAGATATATTTTTAGTGCTACAAGCATATTCCAATCTTCAACAATTGGTTCAGTTTCTATAATTTTCTCTCGCGCGCTATTCTCTGTTTAATGTTACTTTCATTAACATTATTTATTAACATATTCGATATATCTGTTTTTATTATTTCTAACTTTTTTATTGCTATAATTTTCTTGTGAAGGTTATTTTCCGTAATTAGATTAATATACGGATTTAAGGCTAACCTAAATCTCTTAAGCTGGTCGAACCGCGTGAGATATTATTGAACTCAGGGCCAAAATTATCACTAACAGCAAGGATACAGAACTGATGAAACAATGCACTCTGATCTTATAAGTAAGAATGTAAGAAAAGTGATTATTATAAACAGATAAACATGAAAGTAAACGTTACCCCCCACCCACCCCACACACACACAATATAACGCATCCCCACAGTCAACTTTGCATCATTTGCGTTGTCTTACATGTTGGTCAGATTGTGAGAACAATAATAATTCAATGTTTATTTGCAAGAATAATTAAAGTAATTTTAATTAGATTAAAATATTTTTATTAATAATATCAATTCCCATATCAAAGTCATTTTGTTGGTCTACTTAGGGTGATAATGTGTTAAAGTTAAAATCCTTATTACTATTATTATTATTATATTCTTTAATATATATATAAAAAAGTATATTATCGAAAGAAATCGAACTAGTATTTCAGATAGGCTCTAGATGGATTAATTTGTATATGATAATCTTATCGATCTTCTTAGAACTTCATATGATCATGAATATGCAGTATAGTACTTTCCTATCCACTCTATCATTTTCCATAGCAAACGTAGCTAGCATTGATCCGTGATTAAGTGACTAAAAGAATATTTAAAAAAATCTTAACGATGTCTTACTTAACTATTTCATGTCACACATGCAGGCTGACATGTATTAAATTAAATTTCTTAATGAAAAATGAATTTCATTTAACTTTGACTTTTTTTAATATTCATTCCTCTGTGCATTAAAAACAGAGAGACAAGAACAACGATCGTAGCTTTGTTTTGAAAATACCGTCTTTTTTCATTTTAGGTTAATCATACTTTATTAGAACGATGTTCTAGGTTCTATGCTGCCTTTGAAATTACTTCCTACATCGTCGATCGTACTCACTCTAATGGTCATGATTATGCACTGTTGCAATTTCCAATATAACAAATCTTTTAGGCAAGACAACAATGTCAAGCTTAGACAATAAATGCTGACAAACGTTCAACAGAGTTTCAATAGTACGTGTACGTTGGCTTTAAGATCAGTTTTAAGCAATCCAAAGACACAAAATTCCATTCGAGCTGTATTAGTGGACTTAATAGATATATTATCAAAATATTTTGCCATGATTTTTGGTTTCTTCTGTTGTGTCACATAAGCTCTAGCCATAAGTGGTAGCGTTGAACTTCTAGTGGTTGAAAACTCCATACGAATCAAATACAGAGGTTGAATACGCTGTATGTGGTTATAATCCAGTCATGCTCTCACTCTCTCTCTCTGACTTGATAATAGCCCTGAATCATATCCGTTACAAAATGCTCCGCCGTATGGCAGTCATGTCCAAAGCATACAGCTCCTCCCTGCTTGTTTTACATAATCCATCTAGTGTACGAGAATGACGGTTTGCCAACACCATTTTAAATAATCCAATCCCACAAAATTCTATAGGGGTTGCGTCCTGCGACGCCACCAATATGTCTTCGTAAGAAATAGCATGAATACAGTTTCTGTTGAACGTATTCAACCCTCTGTATGTAGGTGGTTAAAATGGTCAACACACCGCATTTGACGCCATGGCTTGCATTATGCGGCAACACGACACTACGTTAGCATATACACTTCGTTCATATAAAGTAATATTAACCTTCTGTGTTTATAATAATTTTTAACTTAAGAAGTTTTATTTTTTTATGCTCATGAAGTACCCCTTTAATAAAAGTTAATTAAATCCACAGGAAAACAATTATCATACTTTAAAAAGTTTAAAAAGCAGTTGTAATTAAAACCTTTACTTCATTTGATTTACAGTTTCTTTTTGAATAAATACAAAGTTTCTTATGTTAACTCTAAATCTCAAAAGGGATTTTGGACTAACTTTATGTGCCAATAGATGTCGTACTCCTAGCAGTGACGATAATTAACAGTTTCCCCTCAGGATGACTGTGTCTAGTTAACAAAAAAGAACATATACTTGTAAAAGTTTTATGGTGAATACTTCCCCCCTATAAATATACTAAGAATGCTAATCGAGAATTAAACTTATGATTGTTATTATAATTTATATACTATAGTTAGATATAACGCTCGAATTTGAGGAAAGCGTATAACTTGTAAATAAATTTACGCAACATTCTTTCACTGTCTGCTGACTCAATCTTATATACAATTTACACATTTCCTAGTAAAATATTTCAATAAGTTCCAAGCATTATATGTTTACATAAATTACATTGTATACCACATTCGTAAAGCTCACAGTTTGCGGTCATATTTTATAACATGACCTGTTACCGAAAAAAGTATAATGTAATAATCAAGTAAAAGTATTATTGTTTAGTAATTTGTAAAATATCTATTATAGCCCCTCCGACTAAGCTTGTGATAAAAGACAACAACGGACGAATTTTGAAGAGCTTGATTGGTCCGTACGATGAAGGAGAATCTTTGTTTCTAAAATGTGAAGTAGAAGGAGGTAACTCTTGAATTTTGAACATTTTACTTAGTGCTTTATTAGGTGCAATATTTATATATTTCGTAAATTTTTAATTAGTGCTTTATTAGGTGCAATATTTATATGTTTCATAAATTTTACTTGGTGCTTTATTAGGTGCAATATTTATATGTTTCATAAATTTCAATTAGTGCTTTATTAGGTGCAATATTTATATATTTCGTACATTTTATTTAGTGCTTTATTAGGTGCAATATTTATATACTCCGTACATTTTATTTAGTGCTTTATTAGGTGCAATATTTATATATTTCGTACATTTTATTCAATGCTTTATTAGGTGCAATATTTATAAAGCTGTTGTACGTTTAATTCCAATTCTAGCTTCATATGTCTCGTCATTATTTAAATGCATGGTTATATTCCTAGGAACTGAATTCCATATTCAATTGCTTTTGAAAACGTAAGACATTATTACTTATAAGATAATGGTTATCTAGTAATAATTGTAAATTTAATACTCGGTATTTTAAAGGTGTATGATAACTTCATAAATCTGATAATTTTACAGCCATGACAAGTACAGTTATTGGTATATCTAACAACAAAGAAAAACAAGTTTTAAATTCGCTAAGAAAAAGTTTTATCATGACGTCTTTAGATCTGAGTGATAAAAAGTTGTTCGTGGTGACTCAATTCTTTTTCTCTAAACATTTCGTATTTTATAGGCAGTCCAATGCCTGCAGTGACATGGTGGAGAGAATCAGTGGTGCTAGATAATAACTACAGTCTGGAAGATGAAGGGCTCACTGTCAATGAGTTGAAAATTTCGTCACTAAGTAGACATGATCTGATGGCTGCATTTACTTGCTGTGCCTCTAATAACAAAGTTTCATCTCCACTTTCATCAACAGTAACACTGGATATGAATTGTAAGTGCGACACTCCTAGTTTGGAAGTTCGGTAGGATTGCAACGCTAATCTTTTTTACTACATTTGTTCTAAAGACTTGTATTTCTGGTTAAGATAGAGAGCTAGCAGTAAGTTGTTAATGTCTATTCTTTCAGGTTATTTCTTGTTAAACATTTTGACCTGTAAACAAAGAGAGACAAACTAAAAATATATGATATATACTTCATCTTCTCATATAAGAAACAGGTAATCAAAATTTATGTCTGTTAATTTATAAGCTATAAAAGCCATAGTCGAAATCTTATTCACGTTTTTAAATCTATCTCAACATTAGAAGCAAATCTATGTTCTTTTTAGTTAGACCTTTGCTACTGGAAATGGAGGGAGGTCGACAGCCCTTGTCAGCAGGAACACCGACTAAGTTGAACTGTCATAGCGCTGGTTCTCGACCACCGGTAACTATTACATGGTGGAAAGAACATTTGGAGCTTAAGACAGCCAGAACTACAGTAACCAATCATGGCAATTCAACCATTAGTACTCTAATATTCACACCTACTGTTGAAGATGACAACAAAATTTTATCTTGCGTTGCAAAAAATGTACTTATGCCAGGAACAATCCTGCGGGAAGATCGAAAACTGAAGGTTCATTGTAAGTAATTAAATTAAATCTTAAATCTTTAACATATATATATATACTTATTTTCTTCTCTACAATAATAAATACCTTTTCTGTTGGGTTTAATAGAAGTGTGCAAATATGTTTTGTATATTTACAGTGCTATTCCACACGTTACTTCTGTCATATTAATTATTTTAATTAAGTTTCGAGCTGAAATGACTATAGTCATGTCCCAAATTATGAATATTCTACCTAAAGAATACGTTTTCTATTGTGGTTTTATTTGCTGTAAAACTTAAGGAAAGTAAATATTATTCAGGATTTCTTGTTGCTCATAAAGGTACTTCATTTCAAGTGTAGTTAAGTACAGCTGCTTGTTACGCCTGTTTATCAAATTATAGAAAAATATACCAAAACTATCTATTTTGCTAAATTAATTACCTATTCTTATAATCATAAAACTTTATGTGTTATTTCCATTTAATAAAAATATTTAACGGTAATTAAGCCAACAAATGTCTGAACAAGGTTAACATATATTAAACATATTTTCTTAATAATAAGATAAATATCAGATTTATTCATTGTTTGCCATATTTCATACTATAACATGCAAAGATATTAAGTAATTATTAATGTAACGATGATTGAAACTTTTAGAGAAATAATTCTTTGTTATTTTAAATTATTGATAGCTTCGTCGTCTATAGTAAGACGAATTTTATGTCGCAAAATATGTAGTTAATTGTTCGCATATTCTATAAGTTTAAAGATAGAAAACAAAATCAGTTATAGTATCCATAAAAACTGTTAAACCGATATTTAACAAATACTGAAAAGGGGCTTCCTATGATGTCACACAAAACAAATAATCCCTGGATTGATCAAATCGAACATGCTACCTCTCAAACATGGTGAGCGAGCTTATCGAACCGAAAGCAAAACAGCCTGTCGAAGACACGGTTCTTTCACAACCGTGTAACACAATACGTCAAACCTGCGAAGACTCACCTAAGTTTGCCAAGTGACAGGAGTGGAGATAGAAAAAAAAACGAGTAATAAGTGAAAAAAAAACACAAGTTGAAAAAGAGTAAAAGAGAAAGAGTAAAGGGAAAGAAAAACTGTCACAATATTGAAAATTACTTTAGAGAGTGTCTTGACTTCATTTAATTTTCCGTGTAATCGACTTATTTATGTCAGTATTAGGATTACTAAAGTTAGATCAAAATGACAGGGAATTTCATCCTATATAAGGATTTATATGTTTTTGTGTGGCAAACCTTGTAGTTATATCACAATATCATATCTAACTCGTTATTCCCTCTCTAAGTTTAAATCCAAAGATCTTACGCTACACAATAACCTATCACTTGGCAGCATAAGGAACTTTAGTCACACAGTTACTTTACAAGCAGTTAATTCTTATATTAAATATAGTTTAAAAATTGTATCAGTTAGAGATGAAAAGAATCACTTTTGCAGTTCCACAAGCCATTGGTTTCTTACATGAAAGTTTCATTCATTACTCGTTTTGTGAAAAATGCTATTTACGGTTAGGAGTAATTATTTCTAACTGCTGCAGTATTCATCATTATGTACTTTATTAGCAACTAGAATCAACAGATTAACAACGATTTCAGTATGACTACAGCGATCACCAATATAAACAATATGAATATATTTTTGATAAAAATAATATAATAGTGCACGTAAAAATCACAGATTTACTTGACATATTACGAAACCTTCTTGAATGAAGTTTTTGGGCTTCAGTCACACTAAATCCAAAAGTTAATGCTTATAAAAACCTGAATTTAAAAGTGTATGGTTTCAACAATCAAGCAAAGAAAATTTATTTTATCCTGTGAAATCTGAAGGCTTCTAATATATTCATAAGCTATTTCCTGTTTTATGCATATGTGGTTTGTTTTGTCTGAAAATGGATAATAATAGCCATTGTAACTACATGTATAAAATTATTATGTGCATAAATATTTATCATATTAAGTAATTGAATTCACGGAACTTTATAATTTCAACTGAAATTTTTACTTAAACAGGATATAAGGTTTTAATAAGGTTATTAAAATAGTTATTAACCAGTTTATATGAACAAAGTTAATGGTAAGTATTTCCTGCCATTAAAGTTAATTTTTAACATACCGATCTTTTAGGCTTATTGACAATGCGATGTATTTCCGAAATGAGATTTGCATTTCTGATATTTATATTTTTATATTTGGAATTGTTTTCAAAATAGAATTTTTAAATCTCGGACTAATAACACAAAATGTAGATTTGTCTCTACGATATTCATTCTAGTACTTTTAAGGGTTTAAAGTATGAAAAATAATACGTTGAACAATAATCTTTATAAAAAAATGTGTTTTGTTATATTCACTCCAATATATTATTTTTAATTAAAAATGAGCACTTGGTGTATTTAGTAACATCTGTGGATTACTTCAACAATGGCAGCCAAGACAGAGATCAGAGTTTAGTGACACTATCATTATCATATAAATGGCAATGCTTTAGTACCAATATGTTATACTTTTCTACAATTAAAGTGTTCAGTTGTGCATTCTTTTTTCAGTACGTACCTCAGTTAGGCTAGCCATCAAATTATCAGTTTGTAAAATGAAATATTTGGAAGTGTTTCATTACAAAAAAAAAATCTTTCTTTTTTCACTCAGATGCTCCATTAGTTAGTCTGCGGTATTCTGGTAAGTCCAAAAAATCGCAATCAATTACAGAAGATACTGATGTTTATTTTGAATGTCTCGTTCAATCGAATCCTCGGCCAACAGGAATTTCTTGGATGTTTGAAGGAGGGGAGCTCCATCCCAACAGCTCAGCAGGAATTCTAATTAACAATCATACATTAACTTTGAAAGACATCAGCCGTTCTAGAAGGGGGCGCTATAGCTGCACAGCAACCAATAGTGAAGGAAAAGGGGAAAGTGGCATCTTTTTTCTTCGAGTACAATGTACTTAGAAACATTCATACTGTTCTTTGATTTCTTTTAGTATAAATACAAGGAAGAAATGGTTTAAATGTTCACCAAGTTAATAATTTGACAACTTATAAAGACTAAAAATTATAATTTTTCATTTATTCCCAAGGCGTATTTAAAAAACATATTTTTTATGGAATCCATTATTAACTGACAGACAGAGGAATTGTAAACTGAAAATTTTCTTCAGTGTTCATTACATGCAATTAATTCCATAAAAACATAGTATTTTTGTAAGCTTCTATTTGAATAAGAAGATGAGATCTACCTTATATAAATGCTAATATTACATGTTATAACGTGATTTTGCTAAACAAATAGCCTACAGAAAATAATTGCAAGAATTAAGCATTAGATAATGAAAAAAAAAAGTTTCATACACGTTTTCCGACATCTTTGCCTTAGGTATGGAATGTGTTGCAAGGTATCAAACTGCAAGTTATCTACACGATATTATGCATTGTTGTTTACATAAAATAAGAATCAAATCTATACCATAAAATTAAACTATAAAATGCTACAGTGTTTAGCGTATAAAGCATTTTATTCCGTAATCTACATTTAAGTAAAGATTACATGAATTCGAATTAAAGGTGTTTTTTTTATGAAATGCTTATGCACGACAGCATTGTTCACATTACATTTGGGAGAGTACCTTGGAAATGAAATAGTTTAAGAATTGATTGCTTTCATATATTTCAACATGAATCACGTTTGTTAAAAATTTCTTAGATGGAAATATTTAACGCATGCTTTAGCCATTTTCACATCAGATCTGTCGTCTTTGCGTAAACATCTTTTCTTGAGGAAAATCACTTTTATATTTTTATATTTATTAGCAAGAAGTCCAGATTTTTTTAAGTTTTCTATTCCATCTTTTTTTTCTCGTTAACTTGAAGAAATTAATGAAATAATTATTTGTTCTCATCGTCTTTACTTAGAAACTAAATTCTTATTTAGATGTGAAGGACCGGTTTCCTCCGCAACTAACAGTTATCTAGACGATAACATTAATTATACGTGTTCTGTAACTTAAAACTTATAATAAAAACACTACAATGCTATTAACAGATCTTCAATTGGTAACAGAGAAAAAATGAACCATTCTTACTATTTTCCTAAAATAGTGTATGAGCTAGAAATCAACCTTGATAACCTACTTATCACTTTTCGTTTAAATCAACAATATATTATCAGGATAAGAGCAAAAACAAATATAAATTTATTCCGATCGAAAAAATATACAAACAAAATTTTCTTTTATGCATATTCCGTAATTTCTAAGATGTATATCTGTTTAATATCATAAATGTATGTATAAAAATGATATTTTAAAGCTAGAAGATATTAAAGATATGAAACGACAAATATGTCTCTGGAGCAATTTACATTTACACATTTATTCGGTTCATAGTTCTAAAATTCAAAGCAATCTGTCTTCTTATGTCTCTATTTAGCTTTATATTAGAAGCCAAAAAACACAGAATTCAAACATCTAGTTTCTAAACTATAACTAGATAAGTGTTTAATAGCATACCACTTTCAATTTACTCCATTAAGTTAACTCATTATTGTTCTATTTCGCAACCTCCATTCCTATTTATATAATGTTAATAATATTTTTTGTTTGTTTTAGAGAAAAGCCACATTAGACTATCTGTTCTGTCCACCTTAGGAAATCGTAAACTTACTGCTGTCCCACCCGTGAACGCGTTTAATAAGAATTTCGATTGCACACCATCAACATGAATACTGGAATATCTTAAAGATTTATCCTGTTGCTCTGTAACTTCCTTAAGAGTCTTTACAATATCTAATGGTTCATATACAGTTAAACTGTCATTTTGTTTTTATTGAGCAATAGTTACTAAAACAAATATTGCTCAAATACATTTAATTAAACACATACATTTCTCTCAAATGTTAATGTGTTGCAGATCCTCCTATATGTATATCAACACACATAAAGTCTTTTGGAGTAGCAGTCCATGAGCCTCTTCATGTCGTCTGTCAAGTGGACGCAGAACCCCCTGATGTTTCCTTCCGCTGGAGTTTTAACAATACTTACGAAACTTTAGATATAGTGGACTTTGAAAGTCATTTAACCCGAAGCAGAGCAACTTTTACTCCTCGAAACGAACAAGATTACGGTACACTGCTTTGCTGGGCCAGCAATGAAATCGGCTCACAGAAATTTCCTTGTGTGTTCAACATCACACCAGTAGGTGAGTTACCAACATCACACCATTCATTATGTGTTCAATATCAAACAAGTAGGTGTGTGTTCAATATCACACTAGTAGGAGGATTATCGTTGTTACACCACACATTATGTGCTCAAAATCATACACAGTCAACAGCACCATACCATAAAGTATGAGTTCAATTCAATATCACTCCAGATAATGTGTATTTAATATTACACCAAATATAAGGCAAAGCACATTGCAAGCAACCAATTCCTATGTGTTCCCATTATTATTCCATTTCAAATAAACTGTATCATTTTACACGCATTTACCAAATTCTCAGGACTCTAACATGAGACTTTATTTCATTAATTACTCAATTATCAATATTTGTATCTATTCATCGCGTCTTATCTACATCTGTCCGTTTTGCTAAAAAAGCGTATTTTTGAACAGTATATGGATTTATTATTATTTCTAAACAGTTTAAACAAATGTGGAATGCTATTTTCGTTTTAAAACTAAGTATTTTTACTAGGGCCACCAGACAAGCCACGTGACTGTCGAGTACAAAACGTAACAATGAATTCTATCCAAATTGCCTGTGAAGAAGGTTATCACGGAGGACTGAAACAACACTTTGTCTTGGAAGTTCTTGATAAAAATTTGGAAACAATAGAAGCAAATTTAACTTCAGATGTACCAGTGTTTCTTCTAAGCGATCTGTCATATAAAGCTTCCTTCGAAGTAATAGTTTATGCAGTGAATTCTGAAGGTAAAAGTGAAAACTGGATCATGACAATAAATACTCTATCTAATCTTGTTGGAAACGACGGTAAGTAATATAAGATTTCCGAAAGAATTGAGTAAAGTATTTAACTTCCAATAGTTAGCCTTTCACCAGTTGTTGAAACGCACAGGAGAAAATATTCTACTCAACCAGATCAATACAAAGTATTACCTTCCAATAAGTAGCATCATTGGTATTAACTACAGAAAGAAAAAAATAATAATTTTGCGATAGAAAAAATTGGGAAAAAATTACGTATCAATCTTTTCAGCCATGAACACAGCCAAATTATGCTCAATCTTGTTGAAACTATATTCCGGTGACTCTTTCAACTTAATTTTAAATAACAATCGTACAGTAAAACTTTTTTTACAGTAACTAGTATCCGAAATTTTAGTAAAACCAACTAAAATATTTTATGCACAAACAGTTGAAAGTTTTTGCCTTTTTTATGCTTTTTTTGACAGTAAGATAGGAAAATGATGACGTCATGTTTTGTCATGTCCTTATTCTCACCTACCTTGGTGTATTACCATCCTACTTCGAATTCAAAATAGTTTCCCACTTATGACGTAAGAAACGGTTAATGTGATGTTGAACAGCACATGTTTCAATGATAATGGAAATTATTTATACTTTATATACCTATCCTGTCATTGACCTGAAAATGTTCCTCCCTAGCTTCTTTAAAACGCTATACATTATCTACATACGAAAAACATCTACCAATTTATTATGTCGAAGTTTTGAGAATATTATAAGGTTAAAGATTTTTCTGTTTTCGGTACAACACTTTGTAAATTTTTTTCTAGTACAAGTTGAGAAATAATTTCAAGAACTTAATTATATATATATATATATATATTATTTCTTTGGCTGCAAAATACTTAGGTTTTCAAATAAACCATCAGGGATCGGTAAAACTGATGAATGTAAATTATCGTATAAATTTCGATCAGTGTGAACATTAGTGTTAATAATTACTGCGTGTTTAATTTGACTTTAGATGCATGATTCTAAGCTGATACTAGATTAGATAATGTAAGAAAATTGTCTTGTGACTTTGGAGTAAAATCCACAAATTACTGGTGGTTACGAAAAGCTTAGCTGGAACTTAAATTTAAATAGATTTTCTTCCTCCCTACTGAATCCCTCCCTTTGATCGATTGAACCAAACGTCAACTAGCAGATAAGGCCCACTAAACTAGTTTAAGAAGCGTAATCAACTCCAGTTCATGATTAGAATACTTTATAACCTTCATTCATTAAGTTATCGCCTTAGTTATAGTTTGAGAATTTCGTAAAATATCACAAAGTTTGTCGTTAACCAGACAATGTTTGTTCGACCGAGGCATTATAACAAAAAGGTGAAACTATTCTTTAGGTAGAAATCTAATAAAGAAATTAAGTGAAATATTACAAAAATAAAATCTATTTTGCACATAATCATTAACTCTTTAGTTGCTTTAAAACTCTTTGTATACTTATGTTTCAGTTCTCTAGTTATTAATTCTTGTATGTTTCTATTGATAATAACTACAATTGAACTGTTATCTAATATTACTTTGTTTCTAAAGTTAATAGCATGGTTTTTATCAGATGATTTTAGTTTCCGAAATGTACAATATATCGCATACACTTTTCCACAATATATATACTTAGAGTGAGAGAGAGGAATCTATTGTTAAGGTATGCCGTTTTGAATGTACAATTGTGCTGAATACCTGAAGATGCCACGTTAACAGTGGCGAAACGTTGTTTTTAAATAATGCATTTTTTTTTCTATCCCATTTTTGCTGTTTTTGAATTTTAAATTTTATAGAGTGTGCGATACCTCCAACATTTATATTTCTGTTCCTTTTATTAATTGTGTTTTTGCTTTTTTGTGTGTGTGTCTTATAAGAAAATCAGTGGAATTTCCCATTTGGGCCTCTCTTTGTCATCATTGGAACAAGTTTTGTTGCCTTGATAGCTGTTCTTCTTGTTATAATCATTGTTATTCACATACGACTCCGAACTCACTCTTCCAGGAAAGCAAGTAAGAGTTTATTTTCATTATCTTAAGACGTAACAATCATTTTTATCAGTTGTGGTTATGTTAACGTTAATAGTTATCCTCACAAGAAAAATTTAAGAAATATTCTCAATACTTTGCTTCAAATTCTAAAGAATTAACTTTAGTTTTCATCTTGAAATTATTGTAAATTAAAACTTAGAATATAATACTGTTATATTTTACTCTTGAGTTTACAGGAGTTAATGATATTATATATAAATATTAAAGAATACTCTTACAAGGTGATATTTAAACAAACAACCAACAAGAACTGAACCCTAAACTAGAGTGAAACAAATTTATTTGATTATGAATAATTTATCTACATGCTCCTTTTTCTTATCCCAGGAAATCGTCATAGAGAAATTACCAGAGGGTAAGTTACGTCAACGTTTACACCAACGTGATCTTTGAATGAGTAATGCATGTTCTGGTTTATATGCTGTCTATATGCTGAAAGCCGTGAGCTTTAATTTCAAGTGTAATAGAACCGTTCATTTGGTACTTTGATTTTACAAGAGTTTCCTTGTTATTAGTGTTTTTGAATTTGATTTCTCGGTTCAACAGTTTTATGATAGCGAGATCATTATAATGATATATTTTGCAGCCTTTCTTATGCAGAGATTTGAGATCTTATAATTAACATCAAATATGTTTCAAATTTCAATAATTGAGTAATAATATATTTTCCTTCGGGATAAATAGAATTGAACCCTAAAGGTTCATTAAAAATGTTTAGTTAATAACAACACACACACACACACACACACATATATATATATATATATATATATGACTGGTGGATAAAAGCTCTTACAAAATCTTTGTTAATTATTTTTGAATAAAATAAAACTTGATTAAGTACTACATATAAATGATTGAATATTTTGTTTTATGTTTGAATTCAATGTTTATAAAAACATGCTTTTATTTATATGCTTATTTCTTCCGATATTTACCTTTTATGGGTATTACTTCGCGAGAGTTATTATTAACATTATCAATAAAACAATCTGTAGTAAACATGACTTAAGTCTTATAAAAACACTCTGTCAAAAGAAACAAAAGTAGAAAATTAATTGTATTCTTACTGATAATGTATTTTTATGGATATTTATTTTATTTAGAATCATTTTGCTTTATGCTCAAGGAAAAATAAGTATCAAAAATAATATGTCATCACAAACTACTTTCACGTTGTTGTAGACCGCTTCTGACAATACTCTGTTACGATCGTATTATATAGGCACTTTGCTCTCCCTTCAACTTTATTAGGTTTGTACTTATTTCAATCAGGAATTGACTCATATCAATTTAAACATAACTCTATTAAATGCCTGTTTATTAGAATAATGAATAACACATAGATTTAGATCTAGATTTTGTTTCTTGCTGGCAGCATATTACTTCTTCTTTTACCTCTCTCTTGGTTTATTCGTTCTCCCGGTCTCCTTTTTTCATTGATCGTCATGTCTTTTGTTTCTCAAAACCCACCCCGAACAAGCCTCTTTCTCTATGACCTTGTACACCTGTTTTGACTATAACGTTTCATAATCATAGATGGGATTGTCGTCTCCATTGCACTAAAGAAGAAAGGCTGCCGCTCCCTCTAATAATTACCTAATGACAAAGAATGTTGAAATCCCTTAATCCCTTAAGGACTGACCAAAGTCCGGCCGCTTTCTCACCTCACTCAATACATTTACTTTCATTTACGAAGGCTCATGTCGAATTTTATTTTTATCCACGTTTCATCATAATGATATAACACACGTTTGTTCTTATATACATATTGTTTTTGTAAAACAAACGCTTGTCGTTTAATGATGTAATCAGAAAAACTATATTTTATATATATATATATATATATATATATTAGAATATAGTGTCTCAATTTTCATACGACTATTTGGTATGATTTAAAAAATAATAATTTCAGAATATTCCCAATGTGCATTTCTGGCTATTAACTGTTTCCACACTTTTTTTAACTAGATACAGAGAATCATTAATCAGATAGTTTAGAGCGTCAATATTTCAATAATGAGTTTCTAATGGTGCATAACAAGTTTTTCATTAAGTTTACAGTACCATTGTAGTCCAGTTCATCTGTGTCACTAATTACTCTGCTTCAGTATAATAGGCTCACTCCCAGTGGACTTGGTTGTTCGATGTGAGTAAATGGTTTTAGTCAAGTGTATTTCAATTTATTAATTTCGACCTCGAACATGCAGAAAGCTATACCAAAGCATAGTACCTGTCACATATACAAGTTTGTGAACATAGTTCGTACACATCGGCAAAGACTTTTTCTTATGTATTTCTAATTTTACTATTTAGCAGTGACGAAAGACTCTCGTTGAAAAACGTTACTGGAGAAATTAAGACAATGTCACCCTTAGAAGAAGAAAGATGCCCGGATGTTATACCAGGTAATAATTATTAAATACAGGGTTGCCTGTGTTTATGTACTATTTGTAAACTTTTTGCACTTTAGTGCTAGCTTCTTCACGTTCTTAATCAAATACACGAATAACATTTATCGCGCTTTTCTTTCATTTAGAAAGGTTCATGTCGAATTTTGTTTTTATCCACGTTTCCTCATAATGATATAGCGAGTATCATCAAAACATCAACTTAATTTTGAATATTTTAACACTTAATTTGCCGACTTGTTTTTATGTCATTCACTACTAGCGCGGTCAATTGAGTAAGTTTAGTTTTTCCCTATTATAATACTGGATTAAAGAAATGACTAAAACAACTGGGTCCCATCAGTTACTGCTGGCGTCATCTATATATTTCACCCAGTTGTTTTAGTCATTTCATCGATATTGCAGTTAAATCCCAACAGTTACTGCTGGCGTCATCTATATATTTTACCCAGTTGTTTTAGTCATTTCATCGATATTGCAGTTAAATCCCAACAGTTACTGCTGGCGTCATCTATATATTTATTTAACTGCAATATCGATGGTACTTTTGTTTGCGTTTGTTTGTGTGACTCGTCTCATATGTTATTAGGGACCAGTAACTAACAAATCTATGGACCCACAAGCAATTGGGTACATAAATAGTTTAGAAAATTTTTTTCAAAAAGTCATCAGCTATCCTAAGATTGACGATAACTGTATGCTTCAAATCGTACACTTCTTGATGACAAATAAAACAAAACCAAAACTTCTATGATTATAACGATACTTTTCCTAGTTCATAATCATGTATATTTTTAAAATGCAATAAGATTACACATTTTTGTTTATTTTAAGCACAAGCCTGCACAATGGGCTATCTGCACTGTGCCCGCTGTGAGGATAGAACGTTGGAGTTTAGTGTTGTAATCCATCAAGCTTACTGCTTAGCCAAGACGTAGAATATTAGCATACCTTTATTTCTTTGGCTTATTCATAAAGTCATTAGAAGTTGATATTAAAATTATTAACGAAGTACCCCACCTCTAAAAGTTGCTCCTCGGTAAGTCAGGAACGTTTAGAGATGGACTTACAACGCAATATTGGAGTGTTGATTCCTCGAAGTAAACAGAGCACAGATGGTCCATTGTTCAGCTTTGCCCTAAAAACCAACAACGTCTCTGCAAGTTTAAGTTTTTAACTTCTAGACAAAACTGAAATATCGTACGCCAAAATAGACACTACATTTCAATAGAATATTTGCAGAATATAAATAGATAAAAGTGTAACGTATGGTAGTGAAGAATATGGTATTCTTACATAATTTCCCGTATAAAACTGTCCACAAATCATAATGTGAACAAGAAAGCCATTTTTCTTGCTCCTCTTGTTTACCAGATGTACCTCCATAGATCATTTGAAGCACGTGATATATTCTAACTTCTCAACACTGTAAGTCAAAGGTAGCAATCGTGAACGTTTGTTTTGTTTCAGATTCCATGAAGTAAAAGTTTTAGTTAAATTTAACGCAATCAATACGACAAGTTAACAAAAATTAAAATTGTTGACATTTAGAAAAAAATTAACTGTTTTTTGAAGTAGGAACGCTTCGTACAAACAAACGTCTTAATGTTAAAGAACAATCACTAAAGTGACGAATCTAAATAAAAAAATATAATTAATAATTAATGAAACTAACCAGTCTACCCTTCCAGTACATGTCGTGGTAAAACCAACAAAAGTATTTTTCATTAAAATGTATTTTATCTTCCCAATAGATCATAACTGAAAATCTTCAGTTTCACGTGCTTGTTTTTTGACGAATATATATTAAATAATCCACGTAAAAAGAAATATTGCTTCACAAGAAATGAACATGCGCGTTTTATGCCCGATGAAAGGCCAACCACCTTCTTTGTATTTACTGCTAGGAATACATTTGATATGAATTGAATTACTTCGATATTCCATATCCATTTCAAAATCATTATTTTAGCTCCATTGATCTTATTCGTTCATTTTTTGAACATTGAAATTAAATTGCTTTTTTGTCTGATTTATTCTGTAAACGTACAAACAATTAGCAGACATTTGTCATATGACATCATATATTCATATTATAATTTAAAAATTAATAGACAAATAGCTTATTTTTCTTGTGTAACACTGGGCATAACTAGTGAATATACTTTATATTTTGTAAATTCAATTTATCCTCTGCAATATTCTACAACCTTTTACAAAAAAAAATATATTTTCTCAATATCAGTATTGTAATAAATTAAATGCCGTTTTCAAATATATTTGCAACTGAATATGCCGCTGATGTTTCTATAATTATTCTATAGATCCATAATAAACTTCAAATGAAAGCCTCCACTATTACGTATTATAATTTTAAATGGTCTGAAATTGAATTAACTGATAATTTAAATTTAGTAGTTCAATTATACTTT